TCCTGCTGAAGTGACTTTTTCCTGATCTCTCTGTGTGGCTGATGAGGTACCAGAAGCAGGTATTTAAGGTTCACATACATTTCATTTTGGCTTCGAGATTGTTTTACTGGACACAGAATTTTCAACCATACCCTGCCCTGCCTGCCTGAATTTAGTTCACTATAGTCCTGCAAAACTCCAGGTCGTGGTGTGAAGCTGAATCGTTGGGGGAGGGGGGGAACGAACAAGACCTGGACCTGTGCTGCCTCACCTTGCGAAGGTTGACGCTGCACACCGCGAGCCAAAGTCTACCACTGCATTAAGTAAACAGTTGCACCAAGCACTAACTGCTACTGAAGCCTTTTTGTCACTAACAAGATGGAAAAGCTGTCAGCAGGACATGATGTCTCTGAAAGAACAGTAGCAGGGAATTTTCTTCTGTGTGGATCAGCAGGAGGATTATGAGTTGATCAACTGTTAGTGAGCTGCTGACAGAGGATTATAAGCAAGGAGTCATGCACAGAGTGCCTCTCACTGCTTCTTCACTCACATCTACCTCTGGTTGGATCATCCCTAACCTTTGTCACACACATCAACATCCTCTTCTCCTTTTTGCATTTGGCCAGAAAGGCTCTGCTACTGCTTTTCTCCCTGGGACCGAAGTGCTAGCTCTTGAGTCCTCAAAACTCAAGGTTAGTTTCCATCTTCTTCATTCCAGCGTCCTTTGCACTACAATACTCCCTCCTCCTCGTTCAGCGAGGAGCACAGTTACAGGCCCACACGGAGACACGTGCGACCGCTCCGTGGGTGCATGCTCAGCTGGCGTAACGGAGCTGCAGCGGGTGAGCAGCATTACCAGAATATAAACCCAATAGTACCAGCCCCCAGCAAGCTGCAAGTCACACACAAGCTTCACTGATCAGAAAGTTTGTCTTAGTCATTTTTGGACAGATAGAAAAATGGAGAAGGCTACAGCTTGTTACAGCAGCACAAAAGAGAAGCTGTATTTCAGCCAACAGATGTCTGGAAGACAGCTGAACTACTTTTTTTTTTCTTTAAAGAATTCCTCCTCAGGCATATTTACAAAGCTCTTCAGAAAGGAAAGTACGAAATATTGAAGACTTCAAGATACATTTATTAATCCTGATAAAGTGAGCCTCCAAAAAATCTGTTCACAGCCATGGAATTATTTTAAGGTTGCCTAAGCAGTTAATCCTTTTTACAATATATGGTCTTTAGGGTTTAACTTTTGGTAAAAGGCTGCCAGAACTTGAAATACTGCTTTAGCTTCAATAAATTGATTTTCTACACTTCACCAGTGAATGCTTGCTCAGTAATTGAAAGAATGAGAAGCTACCCAGTTGAAATCAGCTACTGAAAAAGAGAACCAGCTTTTTACTTTTTTAATTATTTTTAACAGAACAGAGGTACAAAATTTACCTCTAAAACCCAGTTTTCTTGAAATAGGGAGCATACAAAATACATTCTGAATGAATCCACTTTAATCTCTCACTTTGATGTCACTAAAACTTACCGTACGCACATGCACCCACTAAGAATAGTGTCAAAGCCACAAATAAGATACTTTACCTGATCAGCTACTCTGTAGACGTCCTGCCTTTTGCTGCAGTCACAGATGTAAGAGTGTACTCTCCCTGCTCCGTTTTCTCTGGCCAGTCTACTCGTCTCCTTGAGCCCATCCTGATTAATGTCCCAGAGAACTACCGTGGCTCCCAGGCTGGCAAACTTTAAAGACAGGAGTCTTCCAATGCCATTCCCCGCTCCTGTTATTAATACTATTTCACCACTAACATTCTTCTTCCGTTTAGGCACAACCAAGAACACAAGCGACTCCAGCAAGTAATAAACAAAGAGTCCGATGACTTGAAGTGTTTCCAGAAAGAAGTTCATCTTGCGGCTGTTTCTTCAGGTACCTGATCAAAGAAAATGTTTGTCAGATAGAATAAGCCACAACGAGACAAAACATCAACATTTCAAAATTGAAAAGCGTTTTCAGATCCATTCTAAATATTTCCTGCAGCCTGCTTCTGAGTGTTAGTTCAAACAATGAAAAATTATAGGATTGCATCTGCACATCTGACCCGTCTGTCCTGTGTCTGTATCATCTCCAGGTTGCTCCTACTCTCCTCCAGAACACAGCACAGAGCTGATTTAACCATTTGGCAGGGGCAGGAGCACCAGCCCTTATCTGCTTTAGGAACTGCCTACTCCTCACGTCATGGGTTTGCATCTCTGCTCTGACAAAACACGGACTCAAAAACTGGAATCAAAAAAGTAATAGTTGCCCCTCGAGCACCTCAAGCAGAAATGCATGGCAATTACAAAGCAAAACTTACAGCGTGATCAAACAGCTTTGGTGCTCACAAACTAGTACTTTAGGTCAGGACATAATTCTCCTTTTAGGACCATGACTTTTGTGCTCTGTAGGTACCAAGAAATCCTATGCAGAACCAAGACACAGTCTCTACCCTGCTGAAAAGCTGTCAGCCTAGGGAGCTTCAGAATACAGTACGCTTATAAATCTCCAAAGCACACCAGGTGAACAACTGGCTGTCACTACCAGCTTTTCAACTACCAGTACTACAGTTATTGAGCAGAGCCTGCTTTTGCAATCAGACTGTTTTGTTTAGGAACGTATTGCAAAGTTGTTGACTTTCTTCTCATCACCTCCCTGCACTAGGTAGATGTCACAGGCTTGAATCATACCGTTTCAGGTATGCATTTAACTTCACAGCCTCCGCTCACCAGGGCAATGCTGACACTGAGCAGGCATTTACACCCTTGGGAGAACGCTACTTATTTCCCAGTATACAAATGCTATGCAAGAAGTGCATCCTTGGTCAAAGCAGGTTTTACTCTTTGACTAACTACAGTATGACAGAGTAGTATCTTTCCTTCTCAGCTAAAGGTAGAGCACGCTGGCACTTACACTTTAACCTTTAGCACTGCATGCCCAGTTCGATCACATCTCTTAGTTAACATTGCTATCTATGTGAGTAGGTAATCATGTTTGAGAAATGCCAAGAGATAAGTTACTTAGCTCTCTGCTACTCTGAGCAAAGTTCAGGAAATTTAGCTTGTGGCCATACACGTGTTATCATGAGTCTCAGGATTTGTATGTGGGAAACACAGCCAGTCCTGAAAAGAGACAGGCCACTGCTAGAACAGAAGAAGTTATTTCAGAAAGCTTTCTGCCAGAAACTTTAGGACATCTTAAGCCTATTCTGATAGCAGAAAAACATTTGTCAAAAACACAGTGGGTAGGGAAACAAGTTCTTCTTTCTTAAGAGGAGGAGTCATGGGGCAAATTATTTCAGTTCTTCATTCTCCTTAAAATGGGACAAAATAGTGTCAGCAGAGGCTGCAGTACAGACGAAAGGCAGTAACAACAGTAAGAAAAGGAACAAATATCAAACCAACACAGGAACATTTTTCTAGAGCCAAACATTTACATCTGTAGTTGGCTCTCAGAGCTGTAGAGCTACTACAGATATAAGCACAACTGGGGTTACACGAGGAGGAGGGTATATTTCATGTACACCAAAAATCAGCAAGTTTTTTGCAACACAAGCTTTTTGCTGGGTCTGAAACAGAAGCAACAAATCTTTAAAATAAAAGCCATTGCAGAATTTAACTTCATTACACTAACTTAATGCAGCATCCTCCATTTGTATGGAATGAGCTTGGTATCTCTAGAGCAGATAAGGATGTTAGAGCTAATCCCTATGGAAAGAGAGGCAATTGCCTTCAAAGTATAACACACAATTTGACCTAAACCCAGTTTAGAACGTATGTAACTTATTAAGTAAGATAATCATGTATTAGGCTTGTGTAGGACAAAGTCACAGCAGACCTTAGGGAAGCACTGACTTTCTCTTAAAGAAGTAAAGCTGTTTTAGGCAACTGGAGACTTCCTGTTACAACACCAACCCTGCATCCTTCAGTGAGATGCTTAATTACCACCCACACGTCTCTCACCTAATCCAGCTCTGACTGGGCCAGGAGTCCTCCACTCTCACTGGCTCACTGCATCGGTGCTGCTAATTCCACCAGCCGCTGTAACCAAGCGCATCCACACGGACAATTAAATCAGCCAACACACTTGGCCAATTTTGGCGCCTAACTAAAGCGAGCGGGCTTACAGGTGAGTTAACCAGGGGTACCGCTGGCACGCACAAGATCTCGGATCCCTTCTGATACCATATATTGTTTTTTAATATGCCTATGTCCCCACAGACAGGGCTCTTGCACTGCGCTGAAGCACCCAAGGTTTCAGGCTGGCTTACGGGACAGGTCTCAAGCGCAGACAGCGTTGCCCACACACGAATGTCACACACCTGTCACCGCTCGCGGCACACGACAGAGCCGAGGCTGGCACCCGAACCGCCGCACGCCTCTGTTAGCCAAAGAAAAGCTCCTCACCCGAGCAGCGCTTGGCGAGCATCACCTCGCTCGCTGCCTGGGGACAGCTGTGACCCCCCCAAAACACAGCGGTCCTGGGGCCAGGCCAGCCCAAGGACAGAGGTGCGACACCCTCCTCACCTCCGGGAAGAGGCGGGAGTGGCTTTCCCGCACGCGGCACGACTCGCCCGCTAACCCAACCGGCATCATCAAAAACCCCAAAACATGACCACAGGCAGCTTCCAGCCGCGGTGACCAGCTCCCCACTTCCCTCCGGCCGCC